CTGGTGTTTGAAGGTTGTGTCATCGTAATTATGTTGTATGAATATTTCATTCGGGTGCTAAGAGAGTCGTTTAGGGAGAGAGAAAACTGTACGGACTGTATATGAAGTTTGACATTTAGGAGTTGGGTGAGAAGAAAAAATTAAAGGGAGAGATGTTTTACAATGGAGTACACGTTTTACAAATATGCCCGTTGCTGTTTTGCATGCTTCATTTGCCTTGATGTTTATTTACTGCAAATACTAATATGTTGTTTAATATGCAGTTCTTAATAAGATGTACCTAAGTTTTACAGAATGATTTTTGTACTATGAGTCATGTTTATGAAAACGGTTAGGTTAGTTGAGTAATTGGAAATTACAGCGTCATGATGAATGAAACAGTTTGTTCATCATTGTGTACTATTTATTTATTTTTATGGTAATTCACACAGAATGTGTTGCAACAAACAGTTCTTGCTGTTTCTGAAGCTCTCAAGCTTTGCTCGATGAATCTGCAATGCAAACAATTTAAGAATCAGTTTTATTCGCCTGTACGTGTTTCATTTTGAGCCGTCACTGTGATATTTGAATACATTTGTAGTTTATACTTCCGATAAACGTGTTTAGATATATTACATGCTGATAATATCGTACATAGAATTTTAAAGTCTTGTCTGTATTGTACAGAACGTGTCATAACTTATGCACCAAGGCTCTGGCTTATCAGCGCTGAGACCTGAGATCTGTTCCAGGTAATTTGAGGTGATATTTATAGTTGAATTTTCGCTGGAGCGGCTTTATTTTCCTGTTTTTTTCTTCAGCTTTTCCCTGCTAATTATCGTCGCACTACTACTCTATATATCATCACACCATATGTTCGCAAACCCTGTTCAAATACCACATCATCATAACCTCAGTGTTAAGTTGGGGCTTAATACCTGAAGTGTGTCGAAGGAAAGGAACACGCACAATTCATTTATTGTCATTCAAATCGGAAAATACTGAGTTACATCATATTCATGACCGGGACAGACAAATGCAGCAAGTGAATTTTCTCTAAGAAACACTAAAAGGCTTGTGCAGTCTGTTATAATTTTTCCGATGTTTCAAAGATCCTTGCTGCCTCCATTATCGCCCTGATGATGGAGGCAGTAAGGACCTATGAAACATTGCTAAACGTCTGCCAGACTACACGGCGCTACAAACCAGAAGACGGGCATTTTCACCAAAACGTCTTCATGACAATTCAGACGAGTCAGTTGAAGTACCTGAAGTCTTACCTTGTAAAAGAGAATATGTTAGGATCCATTGTAACAGTATGTTCCTCCACACCCGTTGCGGCAGCATAATTCACCGGATTTACATCCGTCGTCAGATGAACACAGAATAGCGCAAATACCAACCTCCCCAGGTTTAATTGGAGGACACTCTGCTGAGACACGCATCAAGATGACGCACATCACGAGGAGTGCGATGCAGGCCACTGAATGCAAACGAGCCGCCATTTCTGCTCTGATCAGTCGGTTCTATGAAGCTGGAAACACATTACATGTGTGAGTCTCTCTCTTTATATGTATATGAGTGTGTATAAACAAATCATTACAAGACGAGATTTCCTGTTTTCACGGCAGGAAGTATGAAGATTGACTTTCGGGATGTTGCGCCGTGTAGTGGCAAAAATTCCCATAACGGTTTTGAGGTTTTCTCTGTAATGAAAAATGTGACCTTCTGGGTTAAGCCCATGGTTGATTTGAGTTTCATTTACAATTTGATTGTTTATCAGTATGAAAAAGAATGAAATAGTTCCAACAAGGCCTAAACCAATTTTAGAAGAAATTTGTTTCGTAGTCTCCAAGGTGAAGAATGTGGACAGGTAGATAGATTGATACGCAGTTATTAAACAGTCGAATAATACTTAAAGAAATCAGAAAATGCTGCTTACCTGAATGATGTCTGAAGCCACAATAGAACCTTTTGAAACGAACCTTTTATATTTCTTGTAAAAGTTTTCTTCTTCTTCTTTTTTAAATGTTTTGCTTTATCAGTTTGTTGGTCACTACTTATCTCTTCTACACTTCACGCTGCCCTGGCTTATCGCCATTCTAACGCTTAGTGTATGGCAAAGAGTTTTCTCCATCGGGTTGCTGGTATTTCCACAAATTTAATTCGCTGCCTGTGGAGGAGACTTGGTCTTAGGGGAAAGCTTTGCCCGTCTGTTGCAAATTTCGTTGAGACGGTCAATTGAAACTACTCCTGGATTCCAAAGAAAACGCATATATTTATATTTCTTTCTGTTACTACGAAATTGTGTCAGACGCCGATTAGACCTTTCGTGAGACGATAATACAAACTAGTCATTTGTTTTAAAATTAACCTACAAGGAAAGTCAACACATTACCTAACCAATGCATGTATGCAACCTGTTTACTTGTACTGAAGATAATTTTTCCACATTAATGTTAGGCGAGATACTCCCAAGGTGTATTTACGTCGGTTAATACCTGATCGGCACTTAATAAAAAGAACATTTCAAGATTCGGGACATTTTATACCACAGCTACAGGCGACTACAACTATCGATTTCCCCGTTCATCATTAGCGTCTGTGACGCAAGGGTCCAACACAGATACATGCAAACTATAGTAGTCACCCATAGCAATGTCACCCATGTGTGACAAACACATTGCAGTTATTACGTGCGAAGCTTTTCGATTGTAACTCTTCCATTACACGAATTAAAAGGTGAGTTCTTTGTATTCTAGGCTCTAATAATCATTTTTGAAGAACCTAGTTACGGTACGGGTAAATTTACCTAAAAATGTGCACATTCCTGTGAAAACAGAATGTAATTCCAGGCTAAGAAGAAGTGTGCAGACATATAAACGCCGAATCGTATTTACAGTAGGAGACGGAGAGAGGAATAGTGAGGTAATTCCTTATTAAAGTTGTCTTTGTTTTCTTGCATGTAGCCGATTCTTAGTAAGTTACATAAGGCTCAAAGTATTCTAGTGAGAAACTGATATTCACATTCCAGTTTTTGCAGGCAATATGTTTTGGTTGAAAATGTTGCCAATTTCTTTGTTTCCGTTTGAACAGATTTTCTTATTTCATTGGGTCTAAATGTGCGTTTACTTCAATGCTTACGAAAAAGAAAGAACACTAAACGTTCTGCTTGTCAACCCTGCATCATTCGTAGATATTACGTTGTGTACGCGAACGCAAGACTCAACCACGTGGCTGAAAACAGCAACGAATGTTTTGTTATATCAGTTCATTGGTCGCTACTAGGGTTCGGATGTTCATGACATGTCATATTTTTATTGGGGCTTCTATTTTGATTCCAAACTGAAATTAAACGCTAACTTGGTTATTCTAATCACAATTATGCTGTTTTTATTTTGCATATAGATGTATATTTAGGTCATTTTTAAGCTTTTGGTCAAATTTGTAGTTAAATGCATAATTTGGTTATATTTTGAGGATAAACTTCATGTTTTGGTTAAAATTTTTGGTATAAAATTCTTGCGTGTAAATACATTTATCAGACATTTACAGTAAATCCTTCAGTTAGTTAAGATGCCAAAAGTGAAGAGTTCTGAAAGTGCGAAGTAAACAGGTTTCGTTATAAAGCCTGTGTTTAATTTCTAAACTGTGTGAGTGGCATGTACAAAGTAGGCCTATGACAGTCCTCAGAGGAATTACCGTACTTGGTGAGTAGAGTAACTTATATTCGTTTGTATGACATGTATTATAGTATTGTGTGTTCATTTTTCCTTATCTCTTTACACATGCAGCCTCATTAATTATTTATAAATTAAGTTTTGAGTGTATTAAAAATTAGTTTCACTTTTCTTTGAATTGACAAAACTTGAAATAAGGGGAACTGGAAATCGTATCCATATATAACGACGTTGTTAAATTATTTTATCCTTTGTAGTTACTGGTGTTTGAAGGTTGTGTCATCGTAATTATGTTGTATGAATATTTTATTCGGGTGCTAAGAGAGTCGTTTAGGGAGAGAAAAAACTGTACGGACTGTACGAGGTGCGATCGGAAAGTTTCTGCCTGAATCTCTTCTATCGTCTCAGATCTCCTTCCCTTTAGCTGAATTTTCATCTTTGGGAAGAGGAAGAAGTCACACGGCGAATAAGGAGGGTGCGGGATGACGGCCATGGTGTTTGAGGCCAAAAACTGCCGAACTTTGATGTCGGTGTGCGCTGGCGCGTTGTCATGATGCGTCGCATGTGGAGTTCTTCCTTTAGAATCAGCGGACAGGTCCCATAGCCTATCCCAACAATGTCGCACAAGTCGTTGATGGTACGACGACGATCTTCGTAACATTTTCGGGCGTTGTGCTCAAAGATGGTCGTTCATCTTCAAAGTAAAATACGCAGTACCTATGTCCAGAACGCTGGTAATTGTCTACAAGACTACACAGTGTTAAGGGCAATCAGCCTGATGACAGAGGCAGCAAGTATCTGTGAAACGCTGGTAACCTTCTATCTGATGCTACAACCCAGAAGACAGCCGTTTTCATGCTCGCCACTGTGACACCCTCATTTTACATGACTACGTATTTTTGTGCTGTGATGGATCACCATGTTACTTTTTCAAAGCACAAATACTTTGTGTACAAAATTGGAAATAATATGCCTCCCGCCATAACAGATTCTAGACATGTACGATAGAAGCTAAATATTTAATATATTTATATTTTGTTTCGCTGTGCGAACATATTTAATTGTAATTTGTTTTCACAGGGTTACCTCCTCTCCAACTTCTAATAGTTCGCTGTCTGTACTCAAGATCCCTAACTTACTTCCGTTAGCTTCGTGCCTCAGTTGACAGCGGTGAGATCGATAAGAAGTTTAATATTACGTATTATAATGTGTATATATATTTTTGGAACATTCTGTACGTGTTTTGCGTGTTTATAGCAGTTCTTATCTTGTATTATTGTGAGCAGTGAGCGTACTCAAAAGAGTATAATATCACTATGTTGTGTTTCAGTTTGTTTTATGGAGACAAATGGCGCAGTTTTTATTGATAGTTTTCCATAAAGCACGCTTGAAAGGAGCGTTTGGGGTTTTAAAAAGAAGGCCTGTTTAACAGATGTGGATGAAATATAAATGTTTTTGCTGCAGTCGTAAAGTTCGAAATAAAGAGTAATCTGAATTCCACCTTAGACGTTTAAAGTTCCGGTTATATGCATAGCAGTCATTAGAACAACTGATAAGCGCAGTGTTTGTGTGACCATAATTGTTTGTTTTTATCGACAAGAAAATTTAATGATTTTTATTTTACGAAGGGGCCTAAACATTAAACCACAATGTTAGTGTATGCAGTGGTGTTTTTATGACTGGAAAACGCAAAGATTTTTAATGCCGTTTTATAATTTGTTACAAGGCCTGTGTTTAATTTCTAAACTGTGTGCATATACAGAATAGGCCTATAACCAAAGTAAGATGATGGGTCTTCGATGACAGTCCTCAGAGGAATTACCGTACTGGGTGAGTAGAGTAACTTATATTCGTTTGTATGAAATGTATTATATAGTATTGTGTGTTCATTTTTCCTTACCTCTTTACACATGCAGCCTCATTAATTATTTATAGATTCAGTTTTGAGTGTATTAAAAATTAGTTTCACGTTTATTTGAATTGACAAAACTTGAAATAAGGGGAACTGGAAATCGTATCCATGTATAACTACGTTGTTAAATTATCTTATCCTGGTGTTTGAAGGTTGTGTCATCGTAATTATGTTGTATGAATATTTCATTCGGGTGCTAAGAGAGTCGTTTAGGGAGAGAGAAAACTGTACGGACTGTATATGAAGTTTGACATTTAGGAGTTGAGTGAGAAGAAAAAATTAAAGGGAGAGATGTTTTACAATGGAGTACACGTTTTACAAATATGCCCGTTGCTGTTTTGCATGCTTCATTTGCCTTGATGTTTATTTACTGCAAATACTAATATGTTGTTTAATATGCAGTTCTTAATAAGATGTACCTAAGTTTTACAGAATGATTTTTGTACTATGAGTCATGTTTATGAAAACGGTTAGGTTAGTTGAGTAATTGGAAATTACAGCGTCATGATGAATGAAACAGTTTGTTCATCATTGTGTACTATTTATTTATTTTTATGGTAATTCACACAGAATGTGTTGCAACAAACAGTTCTTGCTGTTTCTGAAGCTCTCAAGCTTTGCTCGATGAATCTGCAATGCAAACAATTTAAGAATCAGTTTTATTCGCCTGTACGTGTTTCATTTTGAGCCGTCACTGTGATATTTGAATACATTTGTAGTTTATACTTCCGATAAACGTGTTTAGATATATTACATGCTGATAATATCGTACATAGAATTTTAAAGTCTTGTCTGTATTGTACAGAACGTGTCATAACTTATGCACCAAGGCTCTGGCTTATCAGCGCTGAGACCTGAGATCTGTTCCAGGTAATTTGAGGTGATATTTATAGTTGAATTTTCGCTGGAGCGGCTTTATTTTCCTGTTTTTTTCTTCAGCTTTTCCCTGCTAATTATCGTCGCACTACTACTCTATATATCATCACACCATATGTTCGCAAACCCTGTTCAAATACCACATCATCATAACCTCAGTGTTAAGTTGGGGCTTAATACCTGAAGTGTGTCGAAGGAAAGGAACACGCACAATTCATTTATTGTCATTCAAATCGGAAAATACTGAGTTACATCATATTCATGACCGGGACAGACAAATGCAGCAAGTGAATTTTCTCTAAGAAACACTAAAAGGCTTGTGCAGTCTGTTATAATTTTTCCGATGTTTCAAAGATCCTTGCTGCCTCCATTATCGCCCTGATGATGGAGGCAGTAAGGACCTATGAAACATTGCTAAACGTCTGCCAGACTACACGGCGCTACAAACCAGAAGACGGGCATTTTCACCAAAACGTCTTCATGACAATTCAGACGAGTCAGTTGAAGTACCTGAAGTCTTACCTTGTAAAAGAGAATATGTTAGGATCCATTGTAACAGTATGTTCCTCCACACCCGTTGCGGCAGCATAATTCACCGGATTTACATCCGTCGTCAGATGAACACAGAATAGCGCAAATACCAACCTCCCCAGGTTTAATTGGAGGACACTCTGCTGAGACACGCATCAAGATGACGCACATCACGAGGAGTGCGATGCAGGCCACTGAATGCAAACGAGCCGCCATTTCTGCTCTGATCAGTCGGTTCTATGAAGCTGGAAACACATTACATGTGTGAGTCTCTCTCTTTATATGTATATGAGTGTGTATAAACAAATCATTACAAGACGAGATTTCCTGTTTTCACGGCAGGAAGTATGAAGATTGACTTTCGGGATGTTGCGCCGTGTAGTGGCAAAAATTCCCATAACGGTTTTGAGGTTTTCTCTGTAATGAAAAATGTGACCTTCTGGGTTAAGCCCATGGTTGATTTGAGTTTCATTTACAATTTGATTGTTTATCAGTATGAAAAAGAATGAAATAGTTCCAACAAGGCCTAAACCAATTTTAGAAGAAATTTGTTTCGTAGTCTCCAAGGTGAAGAATGTGGACAGGTAGATAGATTGATACGCAGTTATTAAACAGTCGAATAATACTTAAAGAAATCAGAAAATGCTGCTTACCTGAATGATGTCTGAAGCCACAATAGAACCTTTTGAAACGAACCTTTTATATTTCTTGTAAAAGTTTTCTTCTTCTTCTTTTTTAAATGTTTTGCTTTATCAGTTTGTTGGTCACTACTTATCTCTTCTACACTTCACGCTGCCCTGGCTTATCGCCATTCTAACGCTTAGTGTATGGCAAAGAGTTTTCTCCATCGGGTTGCTGGTATTTCCACAAATTTAATTCGCTGCCTGTGGAGGAGACTTGGTCTTAGGGGAAAGCTTTGCCCGTCTGTTGCAAATTTCGTTGAGACGGTCAATTGAAACTACTCCTGGATTCCAAAGAAAACGCATATATTTATATTTCTTTCTGTTACTACGAAATTGTGTCAGACGCCGATTAGACCTTTCGTGAGACGATAATACAAACTAGTCATTTGTTTTAAAATTAACCTACAAGGAAAGTCAACACATTACCTAACATATGCATGTATGGAACCTGTTTACTTGTACTGAAGATAATTTTTCCACATTAATGTTAGGCGAGATACTCCCAAGGTTTATTAACGTCGGTTAATACTTGATCGGCACTTAATAAAAAGAACATTTCAAGATTCGGGACATTTTATACCACAGCTACAGGCGACTACAACTATCGATTTCCCCGTTCATCATTAGCGTCTGTGACGCAAGGGTCCAACACAGATACACGCAAAGTATAGTAGTCACCCATAGCAACGTCACCCATGTGTGACAAACACATTGCAGTTATTACGTGCGAAGCTTTTCGATTGTAACTCTTCCATTACACGAATTAGAAGGTGAGTTGTTTGTATTCTAGGCTCTAATAATCATTTTTGAAGAACCTAGTTACGGTACGGGTAAATTTACCTAAAAATGTGCACATTCCTGTGAAAACAGAATGTAATTCCAGGCTAAGAAGAAGTGTGCAGACATATAAACGCCGAATCGTATTTACAGTAGGAGACGGAGAGAGGAATAGTGAGGTAATTCCTTATTAAAGTTGTCTTTGTTTTCTTGCATGTAGCCGATTCTTAGTAAGTTACATAAGGCTCAAAGTATTCTAGTGAGAAACTGATATTCACATTCCAGTTTTTGCAGGCAATATGTTTTGGTTGAAAATGTTGCCAATTTCTTTGTTTCCGTTTGAACAGATTTTCTTATTTCATTGGGTCTAAATGTGCGTTTACTGCAATGCTTACGAAAAGAGAACACTAAACGTTCTGCTTGTCAACCCTGCATCATTCGTAAACGCAAGGCTCTACCACCTGGCTGATAACACCAACGAATAAACAACAAATGGCAATGTACGATGAAGGTTATGAATGACATAAAAAGTGACTTTTTAATACTTAAATCTACTGGACTGGAATGGAGTGGCAAATGAATATGGATTTTAGATAAGTGCTGTTCTACTGTTTTGTGTGCCATCACTATCAGTGTAGTTACGTTCATTGATTTTTCTTCCATCTTAAATTAAAATATTACACCCGTCCCCTGGCTGGCGAATGTAAATTACGGTAATTTAAATGAGCAAGTTTAACTAGGATCAGAAATAAAAGAAGATGAGGTTGGAAGTGTGTTACTGCGTAAATCAGTTTTAATATCCTTTCAAGTCGTAACAGATGCAATCCAGTTTATTTGCCGTGGTTAATTAGATGTCCATATACACTAAAACACTAAATATATCAGGAAAAGCTCTTATCTCTACTACTGATGCTACAACAGCAAATAATCATAACAACACAGTAGAACTGCTTCTAACTTTATGGTTCAAGGTGGACAAGTTTGGAGAAAGTTCGGTTTCGTTTGATAAAGTGCACAGGGTAATTCAGACTGAAAAAACTCGTTATCCACCACAGCATTCGAGGTAACATGTTTCCTAACCGATCGGGGTTAGTACTTATGCTTCGTGTTTTTGAAGTCTGAGTCCGCGTTTCGACCTAGGGACCGACTAATTTAATGGATTTTTTTTCATAGATTTTCTCAGTATTTCGAGGCATATGCCAGGTAATACCTTAAATTATACCACGACCACTTCCTTCCACACTCTAAATTCACCATTCGCTGAACATCTTACATTCAACGACATATACGTAACTAAGCATTTTAAGGTGTTTCTATAGAAACCGACAATAAATACATAAAATAGCATACCTTCTTCACGTTTGTAAATCTGTAAGAGGCAATTATTTGCTGTTAAAACGTCGTGGAGGCACGACCATTGATGTTTGAGGGGAGACCAGTTGACAGGATAAGGCAACATAGACTACACATAATCCTATGATTTTACGAGATCCGACCCAGTAAAGTTTTATTGTAATAACTACTTCCATAGAGTCCTCCTTGAGAAGATAGTCAGTCAGGTAGTCAGAAAACTCCATCCTTTCATGGAAATTGTGAGACTCGTTACCGCCACTATAACCTATTTTAAAGCATACGAATCCACTCCATACCTCACCTGAAGCACGTGTTTACATAATTCGTGAGGCAAATGTTGACTGATATCGTGTCGCATTTTATGAGATTTAAGATTTCCACTGCAGTGAAGTTGATAATGATTATGTTCTTGTGGATTTTTGGCTCCGTGTCGACTCGTAAGTAGATGTCTACCTACTTACCGACGTGCCTACCTACGTGTCTACCGGGCGCCAAAACCCAGAAGAAGAACAACAATAAATACGACTTGATCAAAACTGCAGTTACTAAAAAGGCAACTAAGCGCCTGTGTGTCGATTATGTTTAATAAACCAACTACCGTGTTTCTGATAGCTTCTCGTAATGGCATTCCGCCATAGGGGACCTCGGTCTCGCGCTGGGTCATCAGGCAGCAGTTCCAGAAGCGCATCAGCCTCGCCTTCCACAGTCCCGGCTCTAAACTTCACTCTGTATGGCGCTCCAGCGCCCCGTTCTGCATATCGCACTTCATCTGGAGCTGCTAACGCAAAACCCAGACGTCGATCCACCAGACCAACGGCCGGTCCACCAGCAAGTCCTCTTAGCACATGTTGCACAGATGACTTCCGACTGGATTTATCATCTCTGGCAGCAGATGAGTTTGGGTCGGTTGTTATTAGTAGGCCAAATGGAAGTGAACTGTGTTGTATAGACGATGAAGCTGTTACTAATGAATGGGGCAATCAATTTAGTAATGCCGGAATTTGCGCCCATGCGGAACTTACTGACGATAATGGTGGGTCAAACGCTAATGATGTAAATCAAAATTTACTCAGCAAGGAATCTGACAATATCCAATATACAGAAAAGGCAGAACAGTGGTTTGGTGACATTGATTCAGAGGGAAAGCCGATTGAGGATCGTGACTTATCCGTGAACACTGGCAGCAGTAGCACGGGGTCTGAGTTTTCGGACACAGACAAAACCTCCAGTGATTTCATTTCATCCAGTCAGGCATTCAGTGACGAACGAGCTAGTAGTGTAAGAAGTTGTTTATCGGGCAGTTCTAGCTATGTAACGCTCAGCGAATATTCGGCTGACTCTTGCAGCAGTAAGTGTTTATATAATTCAAGAGAATCACGTTTCAGCAATATATCAATATCTAGCGACAGTCAGTCATCTAACCGTGATTTACGGAGTGGAATTAAAAATAATGACCACGTAGCAGCAGACACACTTGCGACGAGTCCGAGAAAAAAGATAACAGCAGACGCTGTTGAGCAACTTACAAGACGTTTACCTAACGAAAATATTAGCCTCAAGCCTCAAAATACAAAACGCAAAAAATCGTTGGCTCAGCCTTCATCAGGAGTTATCAGTAACCGCAGTAGGATCACAGAATCACCGGTCACAGTTCCTCCTCGGGACAAGGACAATGCGTGTCTGTCAGAATTCATTTCTGTGAGCACTGAAAGCAGTACTGGAGGGTCTGACAGCTCACGTATTTCTTGTGCCTTAAGAAAAGGACATGGCCTAAATACTAAAGCCACAGACCCAACAACAAATGAGAGTAGAGAGACAAGTGAAAACAAAAAGGAGTTAATCGAAAATCAATGTATTACAAATGACCAGTCAAATGATAATGAGGAAAACAAAATTATTGACGTCTGTCGTAAGGTCTCTGGCCACAGTTGCCTTAATAAAGGCCACGAAAATCTGTCAAACGAATACATAGTCGAAGAGGGGACAATAACTGACCAAGTGCGTCTATGTTGTGCAAGAAGCATGAAAATATGCAACTATGTGCTTAATTGTTCTGTATCGGGTGAGTCACGTGATCAAGCAGTTCCTGATCCAGATACTTACAACGTCATTACTAACGTTTCAAGAAATGAAAGTTGTATTGGCGAGAAATCTGATCAGAGTGCAGTAGCAATGGAAATGCTCCGGAATAAGACTCCAGCTGCTGAAGAGGAGGAGTCACTGTCTTCGGGTCTAGATAGTCGAACGACATCTCAAACTTCTGTTTCCCGTACCAACATGAAAAACAATGATGATCTTCATATTCGCAAATTCCATAACTCTGAATGTGAATTTCAGCAACTTTCATCTCCAAATAACAAAGAGTTTGTAAGGAATGTGTATTCAGTACCGACTGGACCTCAAGTTCCGAAGAAGTTGTTGCAATGTGACTGTGAATCTGGAGGAAGAACTAGATTTTTACTGGAGCGACTTGAATGTGGCTGCTTGCCCAATGTTTCTGCTTCCGATATTCCTTTATCAGGCGGAGAATTCACGGAGGCCATACTTCATGCTCGTCAGTTAGTTCGTGTCTTGGAACGTGCATTAGACAGGGCTTTATCTTTGAATACAGATCGTACGAGCACTGAATCGTCACTCGAGTACGTCAGTACCATCAAAAGAAAGCAACGGTCGAGTTCATTATCTCCCAATATACTTCGTCGTTGTAAAAGAATCGACTCCATGTGTAGTCCAGCATCGACTAAATCATTTCTTGACATGGAAGACAGGGTTTTAGGTCCTGACACTGGTGTAAATTATAGGAAAGGATTGAATGCAGAACATACGTCTGACGTGAAACCCCCAGTACCTTGCGATAGTGTCAGTACCCGAAGGTGGAATTATGGAGACGAACCTTACATGTTATATGTATCTCCTGAACAGCTGCAGAAACAGAGAGCCCTCCTCAAACCTGTAGCCGAAAGGAGACTGCATGGTTCTGTAGTTCAAGTGTTCAATATGGCTGACATCTTAAAGAACGCCATCACGAGGCGTCGGAAGTTCATGGACCCTTCAGAGGAATTTACCTGTGGGACTAACAGATCAGTGTCGGAATGGTCTCTTGAAGGATCTGATATGAAGCTGTAATATCTTTCGAGTGTAGCCTGAGAAATAATTATGGGAGCAAAAAACTTTTCGGGCAAAAAATAAAAATAAAAATGGAACACACATTTTAGTATTGTTTTTACGTCTTACGATTTCGAGCTAATTAAACAAAATAGATTAAAATCCGAGCCATCAAAAAGCTCGAGAACCATTAGACTAATTTTTATCACATTTTATGTTGAATGTCCTTGCTAGTCTACTCTACATTTCTTTTACGCTATTTATAAACCAATATCAAAAGTTAGCATTCTTGAGGTGAAAGGGAATAATGGAGTGAAAATGCCAGAATTATTTTGATTCATTGTTGCATACATTTCCTAACTCGTTTAAAAAACCCAACACTGCATCAATAAGACCTTGCAACCAGAAAGCAAGCTCATTTCTAATAACTGTTAAAAAAACCTATTTTAACTTGTAGCTAACTTCTTCCAATATAGGCCAACACACCATCTGTTACTATTTGCAGTGTAAGAACATCAGTCAAGTTGTAGAATTGAATAGACTTGAACTATAATTATTTTTATACTTATATGTGTGTAATATCAGCTAGTAACACGTGTATAATCTTGAATGCAGTTTAAATTATACAACTGTGCATAATCTATATTTTATAATACAAATTTGGAAACTAATTGTAAGTCATGTGATGAAGTTTTTGTATAAATTGGATGTGTTAATGTCCTGTTTGGTGTCCACATGGTTCATAGACTGTTGTAGTGTTAAACAAAGTATTTTTGAAGGAAATAAATTGGCTAGTTCCTTTAGTAAAACTATAAGGCATTGTTCTGTATGAAATTTTAATGTTCAAAAAGAAAATTAAAACCATGTACATTAGGATTAAATAATCACAAATCCTTTTTTCAACTCATATCTGAATCAATACATAATGAAAGTGTCTAGTACTCATGAATATAATGGAATGAGGGTGGATATCAATATTAAACAAATGTGTACATAACCTCCAAAATAGAAAACACAGAAGCAGTCTTTCCCATCAGTACACTTATAGGTTATATGGAAAAATGTAGGCTATATCAGCTATGAATCACATGCTTTATGCAGTCTGTTTTGTGACTCTTTAAATTTACCGATCAAAAATAGAGTTACCTCAACAATAACAACGTGGACCTACAGTATTAATTTGTAAAGAGACTTATTTATAATTTTGAAATTTTTTCAGATTTTATATTTTATTAATGAGACAGATCTGAAAGATCACGTATACCTTCATATAAAGTTTCATTAATAAAGCTCAAATTTATATGTAATCACTGCATTTTTGGAGTCTGAAAAGCATGAGATGGATTAAACAGATAGATACAGTCTGCCCATTCAGATCCCTGTTTCTGATTGGCACATGAATGGCTAAAAATAAATTCCATCTGGATCCAACATTGAACTGAGGGAATATAGGCAGAAGAGTTTCAAATAAACAGCTTGATCTGTGGAATAACTTTAAACAAACTTGAAGAATGGAGTCCTGTATAAAAGTATCAAAATATATCTGAAATAATAAACATATTTTATTGTTTGAATGCTACTGACTTTGGACCTAAATAAAGACACATCATTTAATTTTACCAATAATTTGAATACTATCAGATGTTACCCACATCTATAATTAAATTAATCTTTTCTTGCATTCTTTTTAATACATTTTTCTAAAGATATTTCTGTATCATTTAAATTTATGGTTTAGTCTATCTACATGCCCCATTAAGCATAGTTTTGTGTAGTATCATATCTGTTATTGTTTGATCACATGAGTCACGTAACTATTTGTTTAAGTAGACATTTTGTCTCATAGAATGAAGTCTATTTTTAAGTCAGTCATGTAAATGTGCTTAAAACTTATCTTTCCATTATTAATCCATTTACTTTTCATTACACCAGCTAGACAGATGTAATCACTGCATTTGTATAACAGCAACTGTTGAAAATCTGCTTTAAATCTGTCTTCATTCCCTTTCCACTCAGCAGTTTTAAGTGCTTTAAGATAATAAACACCATGTAGTTACTGTAAGCTGTTTTTAACCTTGAATCATTCTATATTAAGGAGTTTAAATACCAGGTACGCAGATTGAAGTCATCAGGCTTTCACAGTTGCCTTGAGGAGGCTTGTATTTTCACTTTTGGGCAATGATACCATTTTTATACATTTGTTAGTTTTCATGGTAATTAATGACATACTTTTAAGTTGTGGGTTATATAGTACGATATGAGATGGAAGGATTATTCTGCCAATTATCGCACTAAAGTCTTCACTCTTACTTTATCCTTAACAGAAGGACGATCGGGCATTGCCTGGGGACCTTCTAACTATAAGATGCTCTTTCTCCCCCCCTGAAATCGTAGTGTCTCTCACTTCTCCCCCCACCAATTTCCTCTTTCTCTCTCTCTCTGGAAAGATTATTACAAATTATTAATAGGCATTGATTAAAAAGTAGGTATTAGCTTGTACAGACTGAGGAAAACCATGACAAACTGGGGAGTTTACAATGGTCATGATTAGTGAATTGGATGATTTACTGGG